AAAAAAAAAACTTTCTCAATTGATTTCTTAATAAAAGACATCAATTATTTCATCGGAATTTCATATTTATATAAAATGAACAACATTTGTCTCATGATGACATGAAACGAAATAAATAAATAAATACTCATTTATCATCATATTACATATAACTGTATTATTCTTATTTCTTCAAATAAATAAAATATTCTTCGATTTGTGAAAAAGTACTTTTTTAAGTTGTTAATAAAATCGATTCAATGATGTCTAACCAGAAAAATATCTTCTTAAGAGAAAGTAATAGAAAAGAAATTTATTTAATCTTTATTTTTTTTTGCCACTAATGACGACAAATGAAGCGAAATATGATTTAAAATGCAATTTGTTATGACGACGTTGTTTTTTAACGGTTGAACTGAGTGAGATTGTTCTAGTTGTTTTCAGAAGTCATTTTCTCTTGGATATTTTATGTAACGTTCAACAGTTTAGTCAAAGAGAAGATGCCAATTTGTCAACGTATTGGTAATTTATTATCTCGTCTGAAAAAATCAATCGTTGAATTGAATATTTTTCATTCGAACATATCTTCTATAACAGATGAAAATGAGATTAGAACAGAAATACTATCTACACGTACTTTTTTCCTATTTCTTGTTGTTTCTCTTGCGGTTCTAACAGGATATATATCTCAAATTCAAGTAGAAAAAACATTTGAAATATCTTATCCAAATTATGATCAATATTTGAATTTATACAAACGATATTCAACAATTGTTTCTTGTCCATGTACAACTGTTTCAATTCCATATGAAAAATTTATAAATATAAAAGCGACTTATCATCAAGTCTGTCAAAGTATTTATACAACAAATTTTTGGATAAATTTAATAAAATCTTCATCGATATATCAACAACCTTCACCAACTTTTCGTTATGTTGGTGGACCATTATTTCAATTATTAACATCATTTTGTAGTTCAACTAATACAACAATTGATCAAGGTCTTAATAATTTTTATAAAACACTTTTTATTTCAGGAACAGTCATGTCTTTGGAAATCTTTCAAACACAAACTAATGAATTAATTCAAATTTTTATTTCTAGTACAACAAATAGTTTTATTCGATCATTAGATATAATTCGTGAAACAACTTCTAATAATGGAATTATCTCTGGATTACTTACTAACTTTGATTATTATACTGAACCATATCAAACTTCTAATAACACGACAATGTATAACGTTATCACTAATTATCATACTTTTACGGATTCAACATCAAATTGTTCATGTGGAGACAGCCCATCGTGTACAACACCAGTTTATGTCGATAATGGAAATTCATTTCTTGTTCCAGGAATGTATATCGGTTGTTTTATTCTCGAAGCTTTACTTCAATCAAATCTCATTTGTTTTTATAATCAATCATGTATTGATGATCTTCAATATGCTCTCACTTCATCTGCTACTAATTTCAGTACAACAGCATTGGATTTAACATTACCCAGTCAATATCAACCAAATA